ATTATATTTTATTTCAACTATTAAACTGTTCTTATCTCAACCCATGAGTTTTCTTACTTTTGCTCTTCTGATTCTCTCCCCCATCCCACCGGGGGTGGGGGAGCGGGAGCAAGCAGCTCTGTGGTGCTCAGTTGCCAACTGGGGTTAACCCATGACACAGCAACATTGCATGCTAAGCTGGGAGCCTTGTGTGGATCAGTTCCCTTTCATTTTTTGGTGGAGCACAAGGGAACAGAACTTTCTTGGCCCCCAGACAGAGTGAAGGGGCTTCGTGGGTGCTGAGTGATAGAGACCTAGAGTGGACTTCTTGTACGTGCTCTTTGAGCTCATGACTTGGGGGTCCATTTCTCACTCTTTGGGCTTCACATGGAGCAAATGCTGTTGCCAGTGCAGAGAGTGTTGAAGAGAGGTGGACAAGCCACCATGGGCTGGGATCATTCTTGTGGAAACTGCCCGAGCTTAGTGGTTTGTCCTTTCTCTAGGATAAAGGACTTCAGCTATTGCCAGATAATACAATTACTTCTGTGGTTTAAATGATAGCAGTTTGCATTGCTTGGTTGAAAATTCAGAGTTTGAACCAGGCTAATGATGCCTTAAATAGGGTCTGAAAGAGATACATCCTTGATCCTGTTCACTTCATGTCCATCATGAAAGTCCAAATTACATCATCATGTATCATTGCTACTGGACACTGGCTGCCTTCACTTCTGGTACATCATTCACTTGAATTGGCATCAAAGGATTAATGTGAATCCTTTCCTTGCTGCACAAACAAGCCTCTAATTCCTCTCCCGTCTCTAACTTCTGTTTGCGTGTCAAAAGGTCTGGTATTATTTTCCCCTTAAGTGCAATTGGAACAGAGCGATCTTTGGATGTTGCATTCACGTATGTGTTTGCCAGATCATGACTTATGTTACAGTATGTGTAGAATATATGTCTGCATATAATTTTAGCCTACTATAGGTGTACATTATGTATATCTGTATCTATGTTGTTATGTGTTTAGAAAGAGGTGAAAAATAAGTATTTATAGTTGATCAGGCTGTGCAGGAGACTGAATTCAAATAGAAGGTCAGTAGGTCAGAAAATATTTCAGAGAAGGCTAAATAGGATAGGCAAGTTGTGTAGCTTCACAGGTTGTCTTCAGTGCAGTCAGCCTGCCTTGTATATAATTTCTTCAACAAACTAAGTTTCACTTGCCGCTTCCAAACTGCAGTTGAAAGCAAGGAAAAAAAATGCATTGCTATTGATCTGAGGTAGGAAATACTTCCTGGATAAGAATAGCAGTATTCTTACGTGGCCTCTAAAACAAGTGTGAATACTAGGGAGTTGAAGAAAGATCAATAAAACTCATGTTAAATATTTTGCCAGTTTGTTGGATGCTTTTCTGTTGTATCATTATTTATGCTTTCCCATTGGGATAGAACAAATCACTTTATGTATTTCTGCATAATAATTAAACGGTGAAGGTTGCTCCTAGAAGACTTCAGGATTTTTTTTCCCTGCCTCTTTCCAAAAGAAAGGTAAAATTAAGCCTTTGAAAAATGAATCTGACACACTTTTTGTTTCAAAGTCTGACACTGTTGGTTCAAAGCTGTAGGCTTCTTGGAACACACAAATACCCCTCTTGCCTTTTTCCCTATATTGCTGAGTCTATTGCAATTACATTTCTCAATCTGAATATCCTTGGTTTGGAAGATTTTAACTGCATAATGGAGTAGTGCAGATCTATTGTGTCTATATGAGGCTTTGTTTTATTCCCTAAAATTTATTTGGTTTTTAGTTACATAGGAATGGAAACCCTGAAATCACCCAGATGACTCATTTAACCTTGTTGACTTTATAAGCATCTAAATCAAATAAAGAGAGTGTTGGCTTAAGATGTGGAGTTTCATTTTGGATGGAATTTGTTTGGAACTGAGCCTTTCAAATGTCTGATTTATAATGGAATTGCTGTTGCACGCTCAACTCTGACAGCAGTATAGTCTTACAACGTTCTGTAATAGAAGTGATGTGGGACTTGAAGATTTCTGCAGTTCCCTGCCTGGGTGAGGATCCTGTCATCCTTCACAGAATTGTCAGGCTCTGCCGTAAGATCAGTTTTGGTTTGTTTTCCTTGAATGTCTTCTGTCAGAACTATTCCAGGACTTCAGTGCAAATTTTCTTGATTTTTTTAATTTATTTTATTTTAGCCTAAACTTGTTCATGATCAGTTTATAGCTATTTTTTCCCCCTCCTCCCAGTTCCACCTCCTCCTATCCCCATGTATTTATAGGTAGCAATCATATCCTTTTTCAGCCTTTCTTTCTCTAAGCTGAACAAGCCAAACCTTCCAGTCTCCTTACCTGTGATACGCTCTCCATCTCCCTAACCCTTCTAGCAGCCCTCCTCTGGCTCTTGAGGCTATCACTGACAGCAGCTTGCTATCTGTTCTGGCAGACTTTTCACTCTTCTTTTTCTTCCCCTCACGTTGTTAGACATTTAATGAAATACGTCAGAAGATCTTGCTTCTGCCTTAGGACAGCATCGTCTTTGAAATCCGAGGGAGTTTATTCTTGTGTCTGCTCAAACCTGTTACCTCAGCTCACCTACAGCCCCTTGTAATTCAGAGACATGCTATTTGGTGTCTTACATTGTCTACTAAATAGATACTACCAATATATAGAACATTGGAAGTAGCTATCAAGGCTGTTTTTGTGATTATCTGCACAAAGAGATAGGTAGAGGCTTACAGGAAAAGAGCAGTTTTGACTCTTATTTCTGCAAGATATCGTGCTAGACCTATGCTGATTGGAAAGTGAATACATGTTTGTATTTTCTTCTGCAACGGAAAGCAGAGGATGCTGTCCTACATATCTTTCTTAGTAACTGCAGGCCTATTGCATATTCCTACAACTGTTTAGTTGCATATAAACATGTGTCCCTCAAAAACCTAAGGGTGCCACACTGCAAAATGTGGCTGGTTAATTCTGACAATTAGTTGTATTTATAAAAATAGCCTTTAAAGAGGTATCATATAAATATCATTATGAGCATCTACCATTAAATATTAGCTGTGTTTGACTTTTTTGGGTAAAGGGTGCTCAAAAAGAGCACGCTAACTGTATGAAGTATCAGGCTGAATGGAAGTGCCTGCATTTTTTCTATTGAATTGTTCATAAGGAGCTATAGAAATTTGATTTGCAGCAGTGTGCCTGTATGGCTTATCACCTGGTTTTAATGACAGCTTTTCTCACATAGTTTGAACTTCTGGTTCAATTATTAACCTTTCTGGTATTGGAAATCATTACCAGGGTAATAAATACATTTGATATACATGGGGGACTTCTAGCGTTTTAAATAACTGGGTATAATTTAGTGCCTCCTTTCCACAGTGTTGCATTTCTCAGGCCTGGCTGCCTTCTGAGAGTTAGTAATGAACAAGAACAGGAACAGAAAAGCCATTTTCCATTGCATACTTGGTTCCCCAAATTAGTCATCTATAGAAATCAGATGTGTTTGGTTAGGTTAAAATGGTTTGTAGTCAGCTCTTAAAAGTTCAGAATTGGTAAAGCCACCTTGGAGAGGACAGAGCGTGCACTGATGGAGCAGATTGCTGCACCACTGAAGAGTTGATAAAAACAATTTTAATGCATTAGACGTGCAGTATGAGTTGAACAAACTTTTTCACTATGCTAATGCCTTCGCTAGACGGAAGACTTCTTTAAACTGACTGGAAGTTTTATCACCAAATCAATGAAGGTGAAAATAGCTTTGCAAAGCTGATTGCATGAGGAGGGTTGTAGAATGGCTGTTTTGAGGTGCTACGGTACCACATGTTCATTAATTCCCATTTATTGCCCTGTATTGCTACTAAGGTTTGGGTAAATATGGGGAGCAGGGGATCACCAAAACATTTCTCTCATTCTTGTGATTCAGACTGTGTAGTGCAGCATATCACCAGATTTGGCTTTTTTCCTTTAAGCCCTTATGGTCAAAATAATAAAATGAGTAAGAATGAAAATGGCTTCCTATTCCATCTGCTGCTATGTTCTCTTTAGTCGTTGCCCTCACAGAATAATACGTACAACTGCTGTTGAGCCAAAATTTAACTGGCACTAATGACTGTAACTTAAAACAAAATTGAAAATATTTAGAAAACTTCTAAGTTTGGAAGTAGCACCTACCTCTAACAGTCACCAGGTCAGTCAAAACACTCTGCAAGTGCTGCATATTTATACAGTACTACTGTGCTGCACATTTCACTTTTTGACAGTGTAATGCAGAACTTGATTGACTTGTGATATACTGTAAAGAAATTGGAGTATACAGCCATTGGCTTTAAGTATATTTTTAATTGTTGGTGACGTAGATATGAAAAGGAAATATTTTCAGAATCAGCTAAACTCAGTGTTAAATATTTAGATAGCTTCACTCTGAGCATTAATATATAGTATTCCTTTTCTCCATCTTCAACATACATATCGAGCAAAAATAATACTTTAAAAGGAAGGAAAATCACCTTGTTATAATTAAAAATGGGGTGTTTGGTCTGTAGGCTGAGAAGAAGCAGAGACTTTGAAAGTCACATTTGAAGGTTTTTAAACAAAACCTGTATGGAAAAGAGTAGAAGTTCCTCCAACAAATGTGTGTTTACTTGGAAGGTCTGATTCACTGTTGCCATGAAGCTCCTGCATGGTAGCTGGTGAAGGAGTAAAAGGTGAGGTTTCCAGAAACCTATAACGATGATTAGATAATGGGTGGAATTAGTTAGTCCAAGGCTGTTCTCGGGTCTCATTAACCTTATGGTGAAATTTTATCTTGAAATAGTATAAATAGATCTGAGCCTTTCTGTATTTTTGATGCAATGCAGAGGTGTAACTTCTGACACTGTTTTTTTTTGCTAGCTGTTCAGTAGACTTAGGATGATAGAAATCAATAGGAACACTTCTTTAATTATGGAAACTGTAATAATAGAAATAAACATAACATGCTAGTCTTGTATGTAGTGTGTGTGTAAACAGAATAGAATAGACTAATAAACATATATAATTTCTAGAAAAGAATGTTCTCAGCTTTCAGAGACCCCTTTATTAAATACGTGAAAACTGGAAAATTAGAAAACCCCATCAGATCCATCTGCTTAATTATTTGTGCTCTGCAGAGATGAGAGTAGAATTTGGTAATTTTTGGTAATGTTGTCTTACTCCTAGGTAACTTACGGCTCTTTTGACTATACTTCACTGCTCTATCTCTCTGACTACACTGAAGACTTTGGTGGTGGACGGTTTGTCTTTATGGATGCAGGTTCCAACAAGACGGTAGAGCCCCGAGCCGGTAAGAGTCTTAGTTTGCCTGCATTGAGGCGGGCGAAAACTGTGCCATTTATTAACTGGGTGGGCTGGGGGATGTAGTGGGACTTTGCTTTGTGCCAGCAGTAACTGTGGAATAATGTAGCATTTTGTCTTCAGACTGACTACATAAAAAGTAAAGATTAAAAAAGGTTAAAATGCGGCCACGGTTTGAAATATCTGGAGTTAAGCCACACAAAGTGATTTCCTTGAAAGCTGTAGGGCTTAGAACTCCAATCCAGTTATGACAGCAGGTCACTCTGCATCAAGAGCAAGATAACTATGTGACTACAGCAAATCCAAAATAAAGCAATTTGTTTTAGACTGGCCTGAAATTCCTTTGCTGTTCAAGATGGGGCTTAATACCCTGTAATTGCTGTGGGCTGGGTGTGAAGATGATTGATTACCACAGCTCTGCTAACCTGCAGTAACATGATGAACCACGGTAACTTGGTTTTAAGTCCATACTTGCTTTCAGTCGATCTGACAGGGATAAGCATTCTGATGGCTGTCAGTTATACCTAAAAAAAAAAGCCTTTCCTTTAAGGCTGGTTTAAGATTTTTCTAATAAGTGGATCATTTGAAACTAGAATTACTTTGGGGCAGTATGCCTAGGAAGAGCGAGGTCAGCCTCAGCTCATCTGTCTGGCAGGTGAGTACTGAGCTTACAGCAGTGTAACCTTTTATAATGCAAGACCAGTCACACTTTTGCAGAAAAAAAAAATAAATCAAGGACAACTTTATATTCCTACTGTGTTCTGTCTTTTTTTCAAGAGAGAAAAGATGGAAATTTACTCATTTAAAGACAGCCTCAGTAATTGTCTGCTGAGAGGCATTACCCCAAGCAGAACTGACTTCTATTGCTGCCTGCAAATGGGGATGGGTGTGGGATTTTTTTTGATTTATGGATCACAGCGATCCACTCACCAGCAGTAATGCTGGCTTAGATAAACTCTGAGATTATCTGCATTCTGGGTTTGGTATCAAGAATTGTATGTTTGATTATTTTGGCTTTTGTGGTTGGAAATAAACCCTAAACTGAAAGTATCATCTTTTGCAAAATGCTGCCACCAGTATATTGAAAGGGAACACATTAAACTATTTCATTTCCAGATGCAATTCGAAGATTAACATGTTTTTATAGCTGTAGAAATCGTAGCTGAATTCTAGGTAGCTGGGAGGACAGCTGTCTCCTTGCAAAGTACAGGGGCACTCAGTCCGATTGCTGTATGCAGCGTGCCCCGACTTAATTTCAAAAAGTCTGCAACTGTGAAATTGCTTCCATTCAGCCCCATCCGGTTAACTTCCAGGCTCTGCTGCAAGGTGTTTGCTCTTTATGTTGTTCTTGGGGAGGAAGGGGGAGCAGACGAAGTACAGAAAGATTTTTAACAGCACCTGGTTTTGGCCATTCCCTTTCACAGGTTGTTGTATTGACAGTATGTGTGCCACAGAACTGGTTAAACACACCTTTTCAAAACAAAACAATGCAGAGCTCGGAGGGAATGGCCTTTTTTGAAGGATCAGCTGTGCTACATGTACACAATAGAAAATTAAGTTTAATGCCAGTTACACCTTTCTAACACACTCCTCTGTCTAAACACAGTTGTCAGGGGTCCCGTGATTGTGTCACTACCTATGGTGCAATCTAAATAACTACTAACATCCTGTGAGAAAAGGGAGAAAAGCTTTAGAGGTGAAGCGCAGTGTGAAGGCAATTGCACTTAAAGGTTTCCTCTTATTGATAAAATACAGCTTGTGAGAGAAAACAAACGAGGGAATGACCCCAGGGTGTTTTCTGTTGGTGGTACAAGTTGATGTATTTTTCATGTTCAGAATGTTCCTTTGCAGTGTTTTTTCACTCCTTCCTTCTTTGTTTTTTTTTTTGTTTGTTTTGTTTTTTGTTTGTTTGGTTGGTTGGTTGGTTTATGCTTCTTTTGATCCTCTGTGCTTCTCCTGTCACTCCAACCCAACTTTTAAACCCATGTGTTGATAAGCTTTTATGCTTCTCATTTTAGGAGATTCAGGCTTTTTCAGAGATGACTGTCGTAATTGCTGGTTCACTTTTAGTGCATGATAGTTAATTTACCTTCTCCGTATTGCTAATGCCATTTCAGTTCCAAAACCTGGCACTTCTTGTTGTCTCAAAGTTAGTCTGCATTTTTGGAACCTGGTGCTGTGTGCCAAAATGAGCACATTCTTTTTTCTGTGAGCAGTAATTTGTTAAAGTGTCAGGCTTTACAGTAGGGACCAGAAAGGCATTGTTACTGATACAGCAGAGCAGAAAAGCAGTAATTGGAAATACAAAAAAAGACAATTAAAAATAAAACATTGGGATTTCGTGTGTCTTGGAGTGCTGCCTAGGCAAGTCCCACTGCTGCTTCAAATGCTTTCGCAGCACTTACCGTTTAAGGATCAGTCTTAGCCAGACAGTTAGGGACAGGGAAAACTGTTTTCTTAGAAGTGGAGCCTAATTTTAAAACTTTAATCACTTCTCTACATATGTATCACTGGTGGATTATATAAGAAGTCTGTAAGTCCCGATTCTCACACATCTGAGCGAAAGACTCTCAATATAATTTGTAGCATGCTCTGTAGCATTATCTAGTTCAATTATTAACAAACACCTCTAGCTTTAGGAAGGAATTATAATTTATTAACCTAGAGCCTCTTGAGATTTATTTTTTTTCTTTTTAACGGACATGACCAAGTCACCACTGTGATGCCAATTCACATGTACAGACCTTTGGCTAATTCATAACCAAATGTGGCATTAAGGAATGCATCTTTCTTGTGTCCTGATGGGCTTCAGAAATATAAATGTGTCTTTTGACTTAAGTCAGGACCTCTGTCTGCTGCAAGAAACTCTATGTACCATGAGTAAGAGAATTCTTGGTGCCAAGTGAAACCCTACTTTGAAAGGAAAATTTTTTTTTTTTTACAAAGAAACAGTTCTAAAGTAGTATCTGTTGCTTTTAAATTACTACATTAATTCTATTTCAAAAACTGAGGTATTAGCATTTTGTTTTCATCCTTTGCACCAGGGGTAGCTCTGTTCAAGAGACAAAATGAAATAGAGCAACAGTTAGAATGAGGTTCTTCAAAATGAAGCCCACAGCCCTTTCAACATTAACTTTCCTTTGCTGGCCTGAGACCCATTTTAGTAATCCTCAATAGATACAGGAAGATTAAGAATATTTATTCTTAGTATCAAGGCAGATATCAAGGCATTCCTTTTTTAATGATAAAAGTGGTATACTTTCTGCTGCTACCAAATTTATCAGTGTAAACCATATTTAAAATTGCATAATTTTGGAGATTCTTGTGTTAATTTGGGGACTGGCAATATTAGACAGGTCATAGACTTCACTTTATGATAAAGTGTAGATGAAACCCTGCAGTTGGAATGAAATCTCAGTACCAGTTTTGTGTTCCTTATTTGCATGTACATTTCTTGGTTTTAAGGTCAGCTTTGCTGCACTTATTTTCAACTCACAAAGGAGTTTGTTCTTCATACAAGTTGTTTATTATATAAGGATAGAAGGAAAGGTCGCAATCACTTATTCTGTGTGTTTGTGGAAGAAAATAATCTATGGTGCAAAATGAATTCTGTGCATTGGAGAGTGAAATGTGACTCTTCTTTGAATATCAAACTTAACATATTTTCATAGCTGTCAGAAGTGTGTGTTTCTGAAAGTGTAAAAATATTTGAGATGAAGGTATGGGCTATTTGGGAACTTGTGAAGTTGGATTATTCTTCATTTAGAATGGAAAAAAGTGTGTGCTCAAAGCCTGAGCCTTTAGTTTTTTCTGCTCAGGTAAGGAAAAGCATACATTTAAGAATGCATACGTAGCTTTCTCATAGTGCAGGAATGGGCTTCAGGGTGTCTGTGTGTACATTCACTGAGGTAAGTGTAGCTTTATTGCAGTGGTTAGATATCACATGACTTATACTTAGTAATCCATCTTGTATCATGGAATAGTTGATTTTTTTTTTTTTTTCCCTTCCCCACTGAGTATGGGTACTCTGATCTTTTTCCACATTGAATCTGGATGATGTGGATTATAACCTTCTGGCATTCCTAGCATTAGTTTTGCTCCAATCAGTAAAACTGGCGCACATCTTGATATTAAATCAGTAACAGCTGAAAGCTGAGGATGATTTAAAAAATCCACAGATGTAGCTGTCAGTCCTGGGGAAGAATAAACGGAGCTGGCATTAGCAGCTGCAGTAATAACCAGCTATGTAAAGTTCATGGGTTGTAGGAGAGTAATTCTTACTGATTTGCAATACTAATCACAAATTGCACTTCGGACTGGTAAGACGATTGCAGAGAGAAATGGTAGAAAAAGGAGGACCTGTTGCAATTGTGACAAAAATATTTAAAAAATAGCTCAATAGGGCCTCATGTCTTTATAGACCTCTGAAGAGTTTCTTTTGCTTTCTGTTTTGTTTTCCATGGAAGGATAACTGTCTTCCAGAATCTGGTTTTGTATTCCAGTGATAGGCTTATGATGGCATTAAATGAAATAATCTTAACTGGGCCCATAAAGCAATAGGTACCTGGGAGGCGCAGGTCAGACCAGCACTTCACGTGCTGCTTGTATGAATTACTTCATACAAAATACACTGTCTTCTTGAGGGCATCTGTTGTTGAAGATAGCAATGGTCACTTTATACTAGCTGGACTACTGAAATGATTGAGGAGTGTTGGGGGAACAGGGAGAGCTGAACAGATGTCTTGTGTGAGACAGCGCTCCACAGAGCGTTGCGAAGCACTGTCAGTATTGAGAATTGGCCTCTAAGGCTTTTTTCCCTGGTATGAAATACTTAGTTATAAATGAACACATGTAGCATGCACCTTATGTGCTTTTCATTGCTCGCTGCACAGGACTTTGTTTTATGTAATGCATATGCAGGCCAATATTTCATGAATTTGATTTGATACTGCTAGATCAATATGCAGCAAAGCTGAAAGCATAAAGAGG